GGGTTAGGGTCACACTGCACCATAAAGAAAGGAGTTTCCAGGCACGGCGATTTTGTATCAACCATGGGATTTGGGCAGGTATGCATGAATGCAAAGATTGCTGAAATGATTGTTACCAACTGCGTAATCTTGCATATCCTGCGCCTAACAAAGGGTCACCATCACAGGCGACTTAATAAATGGTTACGTAATAAATTGTTACTTTAAAAATGCTAACGTTTATATACGCGTTTGCAACAGACCTGCAGATGACAGACCTCTCGGCTTTTGTGTAAGCTGGCATCTGACGATAGTCAGATCAGCTTGTAGAATCGGCGATGATCGCCGTCCCGCCGTCCGTCGTTCCCGTCTTCCGCGTCCGTCTAGCGTCCCGCCGTTCAACTGAGTTCGGGCCACAAATCTTAACGCTGTGTCGACGTACGGTCACGATATTCGGGACGTGGGGGGGTAGATTCGGAAATACAGAGTGGGATGTCGAAGCTGGGGGCAAAGCAAAGGTCAAGAGTGTAAAAGAAGGGAATATTCACGTCGCTAACTGTAAAGGTATGAGGGAGAATGCTATAAATTGCGGCACTATAAATCTAAACAGGTCTCGACCTAGGCCCCCCCTCGGTGATAGTTGGTGTAATAGCATCATGTAAGCGAAAAGCCATCGACTTGTGCCGAATTGGCAGTAAACAGTCAAAGTCAATGGGCACAGGGCAAGATTTTAGAGACAATTTTCCTGAGACATCGTGTCTGAACGTGGAGCGATTTGAAAAACTTTTTGTTTCAGCGGTGACCTAGCCTTTTTATGGCATTATGAAGAGGACCATGAAATCTACTTATGGGCTGATCTATGCGAAAAGTAATGTGTCAGATAACCTTTTGACCTCAAGAGGAGGGTTATTAAGCATGGATTTGTTGACTGTCTGTTAGAAAGAAATTGTGACTGGCGCGGTTTGCTAGTAGTAATCTATACATGCCTGGATGTATGAGGCTCCGCAATGTCACAGTGTAAATTTGCAAAAAGCTAAATTTGGTTAAGAAGGTTTATGCTCGCTTAAATCGGATATATTTCTATGGTGGCATTCTGGTACGTGGGTCAGTATGTTTACCGTAACCTATGCCACTGGCATGCGACTGCCGTGCAAATGTTGTGATGGAGCTGTGTTAGATTTTGCCTGCGTTAATTGGTTACCAGGTGGCAGCTCTCTAATTTGCATGCCTGCGGGCCTTGCATAGGCTAAAATGGATGAGTGCTTACTATTCTGTCTTGCCAAATAGTTTTGTTGCTAACTACGTATGATGCGAGCTTCCAAATGCTTTAATCTGAAGACACGTTAAACGTACGCGCATCTGCGTGGCAATTTCATATAGCGATTCCAACGAACATTGGCCTTTGAGAAGGTCCTGTAATACCATCTCTGATGCATTCCACTGTTTTGGCGGTATGTGCTGTTTGAATTTCATCCTGAGGAGAACCCTGAAACAGTATACTGATTGTTTGTAATAACGACCAGTGATACTTTATTGTTTACATCGAAACGTGAAATGCGCGGGGATGTGAAAATTACTCCACAACATAGCGCACGTGAACAGTGAGCGTGCTGCACGACCCGTGCATGTAAATAAAGCCTGGCCAACACAATGTAGGGTTCACTACCGTTGGCCAAAAGTAAGCTCCACCCACTTCTTATCGATTTTTGGTATGCCAACGCTGCTACTGGATGCAGGAACCTGTGCTAATCTGTGCGTCCGAACATCCCACGCACGTTTCTTGAATGCCAACTAAAGTTGATTGCAGTGGGCGAACGCATTGTTTACATGTATGTCACAGTTTATCACGGATTAGTTTTCAAATAAATACCCCTGGAAGTTAATATGCATGAACAGATTTCTACAGGTAACAGTTTCTCAGTGTTTCGAATTTTCGGGGATCAAATAGCTGTAGGATCAGCGGGCCTGTTGTATCAAGAAGCTGTAGGCCCGGCATCGAAACTGTCGGCGGCGGGCCGACGGGCCGACGTGAATTTCGAACACTGCCTGGGTCCGGTCCGGTATACCGGAACGTACCCTGGTAACTATCTGATATGGTTAGGGAGTAGGCGTAGGCGACTCCCTAGACTCGTTAGTGGCGTAGGCGAGGTACGGTCCGGCATATTAGATAGTACCAGGGTACGTTCCGGCAGTACCCAGGGAGACATAGACCCTGGCAGCAGTAGTAGTAGGTTACTATAGCAGACACGTCAAGTCTCACGCATTGAGCGTGAGACTCACGCATTTTGGTCATTTCTCATGCTCTCACGCTCATCTCTGAATTTCTCACGCAAAAATCAAAATCAATAAATAAATAATTAAAACCCCCTATTTTCAGTCCCATATACTAGTATCAGAAGGCTAAGGCCCGATCAACAGCGCCGCTCCGCGGCCGCCCAGCTAGCTAGCTTGCTCCGGCCGTATACGTATACGAAGTGGCTATATGCCCGGCAGCCGGGCACGGTCTTCGATTTCCTAAATGCCCGGCAGTTTTTAATTTTCGGTGATTTTTCAAGTAAACAGTGTACTACGTGATCCAAAGTATTCTACATTTGTTAGCTCATCTGACATAGTCAGATGCAGCTTGTAGAATCGCATGATTGGCCGTCTGTACGTTAGTCCGTGCGTGCGTGCGGCCGTCCGTCAACAGTTGGGCACAAATCTAAACGGCTCGACGTACGGATTCGAAAGTCGGGACGTAGGGGGGTAATCCGAAAACGAGTTGGGATGTCGAAGCTGGGGGTCAAAGGTCATGCCCCGGAAACACTTCCACTCCCTTAACGTTAAGGTATAGGGCAGCGAATCGATCTCGCGGCCACAATCTAAACGGTCTCGAACCTATGCTTCCTAATTATTACCGGTGGTAAATAGTGTGAGAATGCGGCAGCGACACCCATCACCAGGGGAATTGGAGGTCACAGGTCCAATCGAAATTGGAGGTCACAGGTCAAAGGGCAGTGGGGGAAAGGTCAGATATCAGACCCTAACGGATTTATGAAAGGACCATGAAATGTGCTTTCCACTGACGTGCGAAGAGTAAGTGTCTGATAACCTTTTGACCCTCAAGAGGAGGGTTAAACATGGGTTCCTGAACTGCCTCAATGATGTCACAGTGTTCTGATATTCATGGCACATCCATCATCTAGAAAACCAATATGTCTGGATAGGCCAACGGGTACAGAACAGGATTACGTCTCAAAGGTCCTTGGATCGAATCCCATCAGATTTTTTATTATTTACCTGTTTTTTCTATTTTTCTATCTTTATCCATTTAATTATTTTTTTCCAATTAGCGCAAATATTTACATGATTTATTTACAACAATTTAATAACAACAAATAATTATTACAATTAAATATTTTTTGTTTTTTAATAGGGTTAGGGTTAGGGTCACGATGCACCATAAAACAGGAGTTTCAGGCACGTGATTTGTATCAACCAATGGGATTTGGGAGGTATGCAGAATGCAGAAGGTTGCTGAAATGATGTGTACGCAACTGCGTATCTGCATATCTGCGCCTAACAAATGTGTCACTCCGCACGACTGAAATTTTACGTTCATAACCATAGCAACACACCTCAGATGAGCCCAGTCGCTCTGCAGCTCTTGTTTAGAAATATCAAGTGATTTTCGTTAGAGCTGTATATTCAAACTAGCCCAATTCTCCTAGCTTCGGATCACTGAGCAAACAAACTCGCAATCGACACTTAGAAAATATCCGACGGCTGCCGGGCACGGTCTTCGATTTCCTAAATGCCCGGCAGTTTTTAATTTTCGGTGATTTCTCAAGTAAACAGGAGGGTTAGGGTTAGAGTGCCGGCTGCCGGGCATATATAGCGACAGCGATACGTATAATACGTATACGCTATAAGCGGCGCGGCGCACATTTTATTTGCCTGCTTTGAATCCAATATCCCGCCTGGATCAGTGCCAGTGGAGGATGGCTTTGCAGGTTACTGAGGTATTTTTTTACTTTTCAATTCTCAGCTTGCACTTTTACTAGACTAGTTTCTAGTACTAGTTCTAAAGTTTATCTAGGTTTAGATCTAACCTAGTAGATCTAGATCTAGATCTACAGTAGATCTATATGAAAATGTTGCACTGGGACTCAACTTGGACTTGGAGCTTGAGTGTGATTTTTTTCTGTTGACGTTGAAGTTAATGAGTAATAACTTATATTTATAAAGGCAATAAATCATACCATAGGTATGCACTAAATTGCACCATTTCAAACCTCAAATTTCGAAAAGCTCCATACCATGGAAGGGGGGCAACCCTTCTCCCACACCCTCCACCCCCTTGGTCGCTTCGCTCCCTCGGCCGGTGTCGCTCCGTCAAACGCTGAGTCTCACTCTCAACCATTTCTCAAACTTGACATCTCTGCTATAGTATAGTTCATATACGAATATTACTACTACTAGTACTACTTGCACTGTGCTTAGCTCACAGGCACTTGGAGCGTTTCAATAAAATATAATGCTAAATAAATACGAAATCTATTTACTACCAAAGTCTTAATGTTTCTCTACTCTCTTTCACCTATTATTGCCGACAATTTTCTGTAAATGCCGTCCAAATGCTCATCTGCAACACACGCTGACTGCCGCATGCTAGCTGCTGCACACTGACACATAAATATATAGACTATGACATACTATATATTTATGTGTCAGTGTGCAGCAGCTAGCGTGCGGCAGTCAGCGTGTGTTGCAGATGAGCATTTGGATGGCATTTACAGGAAATTGTCGGCAATAATAGGTGAAAGAGAGTAGAGAAACATTAAGAATAAGACTGGTAATAAATAGATTTCGGTATTTATTTAGCATTATATTTTATTGAAACGCTCCAAGTGCCTGTGGCTTAGCTGGCGTTTACAGTTGCACTCACACACGTGACACTGTAGTCTTTAGCCTGTAAAGTGCACTTGACTTGCTTATACTACTAGTACTACTACCACTACCACCCACCACCCCTTTCTAAAACTTTACCCCAGACTCTAAGACTACTTTTAGCAGAGTCTATGCAAAGTATGCGAGTGGAGCAATACAAGTACAACCTTGTGTACAACTACAAGTACTATTGTTATTCTACATTAATCCATGTCTGGAACAATCTACAACCAAAAATCAACCAATCTATCTCTGTTACCTAGTGAATTCTGGCCGATCCATATTGACCTGTACGTCTATAGCCACACCAGGCGATTAGTACAGTACCAGACAAGACAAGATGTCCCCACCCATACTTCTCACCACGTAGTCTCCTGCCATGCTAAGGATACTGTAGAGTGTCCATTGACCAGTTTTAAACCGTAGTTTGTTCTTTACTCTTGTGCACACGTGTTAACACATTTTCAGCATCATTCTCACTTCGTCTGTACTTTCATTTTTAGCTCACCTTGACATCGTCAAGATGAGCTATTGCCATGGGGCGTTGTCCGTTGTCCGTCCGTCCGTCTGTCAACATTTGGCTACGGTCAACGATAACTTGAGAACCCTTTGACCCACATGTTTCAAATTGCATACAGTTGTTACTCCTATGGGAGAGATGTGAACGTCCTATTTTGGAGCACGCCAGTTGACCTACTTTTGAGCCACGCCCACTTTATGGCAAAAATGGAAATAGCCATAAGTCAGTTCAGGTTCAACAGATTTTGCTCATTTTTGGTATGTGAATGAATAAGGACTGGCCCCAAAACATATCACATGGGTTTTTATATTTTTTTAAATTATGCCAGATTGATTTAAGTTAGGTCGATTTTGGCAATTTCACTATGCATTTCAGTGTCTGCCTACGGTCAACGATAACTTAAGAACCGTTTGACCCACATGTTTTAAAATGCATACAGTTGTTACTTCTATGGGAGAGTCTCAGAGATTTGAACGTCCTATTTTGGAGCACGCCAGTCGACCTACTTTCGAGCCACGCCCACTTTTTGGCAAAAATGTAAATGGCCATCAAAATTCATTCGATTTTGTTAAATTTTGGTATGTGAATGTGTAAGGCTAGCCCCAAAACAGTTGTTACTCCTATGGGAGATGACAACGTCCTATTACGTTTATTTCGTCTAACTGGTTAACAACTCTTCAATCATATCTATATACGTGTAATATTGTGTTTTAGATTCTTCGTTACAGTAATTTGACTGGAATATTTTATATATCACACCCAAGGTGAGCTACAGTGTCATTGACAATTTCATTTGTTTTGCAGCCATGCCAGCTGGGCACGAACGGTCAGTAAAATTAAAGAAAATCAACTTGAACATTACGTGTTGGCTGTGCAAAGGTTACCTGATTGATGCCACAACCGTAACAGAGTGCCTTCATACATGTAAGCTAATAAATGACAATGCTATATAACCTGACGAAATTTCTACACACTGTTGTTATCATTGCAGTTAGGTGCAAGAATGTAACAGAACAGAAATGGCATGTTTTAATAGTAACCCATGATAATGACAAGAGAGCTTAATTGCTTTGGGAGGGGGCGAAGTCATATAAGCGTTCTATTAGGCAAGTGATTAATAATGATTGACATGAGCTTAGAGTTAAAGGAAGAATATGGCTAATCCGCGTTCTTAGCGAATGATAAAATAATTGACACCTTGTGTCACTTCAAAATATTTATAACCTTACTGTCAAATTCATATTAGTTTGTCCGATTTCAGTGCAACAGTCGAATTCATGCTGGCAACTGATAAAACCCTTTCTTGAAAGTCCAAGGTGTTGGATAAACGTGTGTTAGATATAACCATATTTTTCCTTCAGTGTATATTTTTAGCTCATCTGACATGGTCAGATGGAGCTTGTAGAATCGCTTGAGCGTCCCGTTCGTCCGTGCGTCCGTCAACAGTTGAGCACAAATCTTAACCGCTCGATGTACGGTCTTGATATTCGGGACGTCGGGGGATCGCGAAAAGGACTCGGGATGTCGAATTTGGGTGTCAAGGGTCAAAGGTCAAGATGTGTCAATGGAGGGGAAATATTTTCCCCTTAACTTAAGGTATAGGAGGAAATACGGAATTGCAGCACAAATCTCAACGGCTTGACCTACGCTCTTAATATTCGATGTATAGTGTGATGGGGAGGAAACCCATCACCAGTGCGAAATTGGAGGTCACAGGTCAAAGGGCAGTGGGGGGAAGGTCAGATATATCAGACATTTTCTGAGGACATGGTCTAACGGACCAAGTGCAAAACTTTTTTGTTTCAGCACTGACCTACCGTTTTTATCACTTTAATGAAAGGACCATGAAATCTTCTTTCCGCTGACGTCCGAAGAGTAAGTGTCTGATAACCTTTTGACCCTCAAGAGGAGGGTTAAACATGGATTTGTTGACTGTTAACAAAGGATGGAATGACTGCTTTTGCTATTAGCAGCCCCCTCCACCTGCCCTATCCCCTTTCACCCCGCTGCCCCACCCTTCCACCGCCACCACATAACTCGCGCATCGACGCATATCCATTGATAACATGTTAATATAGGCGAAGTCATTAAAGTTACACAGAGCTCTGTAATCTTATTAACTGTACTACCAGTATGATATGAGGCAAGCCTATCATCAGATTGTTAATCTGTATTAGAGTGATCCTAGATATATTGCTCTGAGCGGCGAATTCGGTAGCAGGAGGGCGCACTTGATTCGGTTGCCAGTGATTTATGCAAAAATACCTGGCCTACAGTACACGTCAGTTGAGCGCTGTCGCTCTGCGGCACTTGTTGATCTGAGTGACCTCGTGAACATTGTTATACAGTAGTATACGTATGTTCGAAGTAGTGTTAACATGTGCCCAGATTGCCTGACATCTTACATTGTTATTTGTCTGACCTGTATTATTTCCTACATGGGGAGAGGGTGTTTACTGTGTATCTTACTGGTCGTGCTGCAGTCTTCAAGAGCTGCATTGTGAAGTGCTGGAGGAAAACAACACGTGTCCTACGTGTGAGATGGTGATACATCAGAGCCACCCACTGCAGTAATCAGTGAGTGATCGGCAGTGCTTTAATCAATGATGATGCAAAGTCGATAGCATTCTATATGGATGTTATCTGGTATGTGTAGATGCGTCAGCTTGTGTAGTGTGTATGACACTAAGGGTGGTCAGTGTGGAGAGTGTTTTAGGTCCTTGAAGAGCATTTTGTTGCAGTTTAACGCCAGTGGCGTGCAACAGGTGGCCTCAGTTTTACTCAACATTTGTTCTTTGTCTTTTGACCTCACATTTTGGTCTTTCATCTTACTCATAGGACTTCGGAAGCTGTGTGCTTCTTTTGTTTCTGTAACAAGCTTCACATGAGAATCTATATCTGACGTGCAGTTGTCCTTCCTATTTTTAGCTCATCTGAACATAGTCAGATGCAGGCTTGTAGAATCGCATGACGTCCGTGCGTCCGTGCGTCCGTCCGCGTCAACAGTTGGCACAAATCTTAACCGCTCGACGTACGGTCACGATATTCGGCACATTGGGCGGGCGTTCAAAACGAGTTGGGCTGTCGAAGCTGGGGTCAAGAGTCAAAGTCAAGAGGTGTAAAAGAAGGGGGAACATTCACTCCTTAACTTAAGGTATAGGGAGGAAATGCAGAATTGCGGCACAAATCTAAACGGCTCGACCTAGGCTCGTGATAGTCGGTCGTATACATCATGGTAGGAAAAGCCATCACTGTGCCGAAATTGGAGGTCACAGGTCCAAAGGTCCAGTGGCACAGGGCAGTTTTAGACATTTCTCG